CATCAAAAGGTACACTTTTAAAAACCTTTTTTCCAGTGTCAAGATTCACAGATGAATGAAATTCTGTGCTGTGATAGGAATATATTACTTATGACTATCCAATAGAATACCTGGTGTCTATAGGTGGTACTATTAAGTACTTGAAATATGGCTACTCCAATTGAGAAGGGAGAGTATTAATTTTAATTATTTTTATCAATTTAAATTTAAATTCAAATAGTTGTATGTGACTGTGCCTATTGAATTGGACATATCAAGATGAATGATAAATCTTTTAGGAATATACAATAAAAAGGAGAAAATTGAAAAACAGGAATAAAATTACTATAGTATGCAATAAAGACACTGATAGAGCTATGAACAGAGAATTGTTGAAAGACAAAAAGTAGCTGAGGATGTCAGGAAAATCATTTCAGAAATAGTGGTGCCTGAACTGAATCATAAGGAAAGTGGAAAAGGAAGATTGAAGTGATAGAAACTTGGAGAAACTCAGGGGAAATACACGGAAGCAAGATACAACATAATATGTGTGGGTTACTGCAAACAGGTTTTTTTAGTGTATAAATGATGCAGGAATGGTGATGAGTGGGTGGTTAGGGACAGTTTATGTATATCCTGCAAAAATATTATAATACTGGTGCATGGTATTTCCCAAAGTATACTCTTTTGAGCTCCTACATTAGAATCATATGAGTTGCTAGTTAAGCATGCAATTCTTGAATCCCATATCGGAGAGAGTAAACAAGAATTGCAGAGGAGTTGAGTCTGTGGGTATACATATGTAACAACACAGTTATGTAGTTTTCATCTATGCGTGAGTATGGACACATCAGACCTAAGATAAGGCTAAAAGATAGCAAAGAAGAGGCAAAGACTGGAATCATGGAACTCAAACAATAGCCCAGCTATGAAATGTTGATACTGAGGAACTAAAGCAGTGGCAATTGAAATGGAGATTTAATGGAAGAGGGAATATGAAGTTTACATCAGAAAAGTCAAGGAAATTCTAGTTTTAGAACAAAATTTCTGAGAATTCGATTCTACTATGCTTGTGGAATTATGTGAGGGAAAGGGCTCTTAGCAATTATTAGTTCAATTTCAAGTAAGATCCTAAAAAATTAAGATGTCGTATTTATAACCATGTTTAGATGGAACCATTAAAAGATGGTCATCAAGGAAAAATCTCTAAAGAGATTGCAAAATTCTAAAAATGGTCCATGTAAATACTTTTCAAACATGTCATGCTGTTCTTTGAGCTGAAACAGATAGGAAAATAAAACAGGAGAGTAATGCATCTTGCAGAGAAGGACTTTGAAACAGTAGCATTTTAAGCAGTCAATAAATCAAAAGCTGGGCAAATGTAATTCAGGGAGAATGCCAGAACTTTAGACCCAGGAAGGCAAGCAAGTGGGTCTTGATCTGAGCAAGGTCAGTGAGGTCCTGTAAAGATTAAGAAGAGCAAGTAGCTAACATCTACTAAGTTAGGCTTGAAAAACTCAATCTTGGAAGATACCCAAAGGAAAAGAAATAACTGTATTAAAAAGATGCCTGAACTACTATGTTTATAGCAGCACTACTCACATTAGTCAAAATATGGAATCTAAGTGTCCATCGATGAATGATTGGATAAAGAAAATGTGATGTACACACACAAACACACTCCATGAAATACTACTCAGCCATAAAAAGTAATGAAATAATATATTTTGCAGTAACATGTGTGGAACTGGAGGCTATTGTCCTAAGTGAAATAACCTCAGAAACAGAAAGTTGAATACTAGATGTTCTCGCTTATGAGTGGAAGCTAAATAGTGTGTACACATGTACAGAGAGTGTGCAATAATATATAATGGAAGCTGAGAAGGGTGGACAGGTTAGAGCGGGCAAGGGATGAGAAATTACTTAGCGAGCACCATGTGCACTATTTGAGTGATGGTTATACTAAAAGCCCAGATTATGTCACTAGACAATACATTTCTACAAGAAAACTGTATTGTACCCCCTGAATTTATACAAATAAAATCATAAAAGAGGTTCTTGTACAACAGGAAAGAAATGCTGGTTTTAAAATAAAATAAACCTTGATGCTCACCGTAACTCAATGAATAAATAAATAAATAAGCCAAAGGCAGAGAAGAGAAATGATAACAGCAAATCTTTAACTTCTGATTGTAAAGCAGAGTCTACTTTCTCTTTGATTTGACTCTCTGCCCTTTGATGGAGGTATGTGTTTAAAGATCATACACGGTGGCCGGGCGCGGTGGCTTATGCCTGTAATCCTAGCACTTTGGGAGGACAAGGTGGTTGAATCACCTGAGGTCAGGAGTTCAAGACCAGCCTGGCCATCATGGTGAAACCTCATCTTAAAAAAAAAAAAAAAATCCTACATGGTTTGCATCTGTGGCAGAGTCCTAGGGTGTCAGTGGCAACACTGGAAACTGGGCCTGGTGCATCAGTGCAGAGAGGGATCATACAAAAATAACAGAATCTTATACTGCTGAATTTATGGATTCAAGAACGATCCCTGACTTACTTTCAAAAACAGATTTTGTACTGCTATTTCCTAGTCTTCTTACACTGACAAAAGAAGATTAGTGAAAAATAAAGCCTAAGAGTACTTTTCCAGGTAAGAAAAAAAAAACACCAACATGTAGCTTATAATTCTGTTTGCACATCCTACTTTCTATTAAAAACAATCTAATTTACCCAATAAAACCAAAAAAAGGTAGGATGTTCAATAGAAGCTCATAGTCTGATGGAGGGAGAGCAGCCATAGTAATGGTGCTGAGATGACTGTGAAACAAAATTATTTTTACCTATGGATACAACAAAAATGTCCTCTGTGGAGCACATATGTTTGTTCTATACATACGTAATTTCCAAAAGGAAGAGAAACACTAGATTTAAACTTAGAAGTTTTGCTTTTTCTTGCTGCTCTGGGCCGCACATGGAATACACCAGCAACGAGAAACTTCTTTAGCCTTTTTTTCCCCCAGCTCTGTTTCTTTCTCTGTGCTGGCTATTCTCTGTGGAATGTCCCTTCTTTTTGCTTCATTGACAACTTCTTATATGCTAAGACTTAACTCGAGGGTATCCTCTTGGGCCTCTTTTCTGAGTAAAACATGCTGAATGTGAGGCCCTGCGTTTGTGTTCAGAATGCCCTGTCTGTGTCTCTAACTTTGCACTTACTCTGTGGTACTTAACTTCCCTGTCAACGCCTCTCTCTGCACTGTGGGTTCTTTGAGGGCAGAGGCTGTCTTACTCCCCTTTGTTCCCTTAGCTCCAAACACTGTACCCAGAAACTTACTAGGTGTTTTCTTAAGCACTTGATGTACATTATGCTGTCTAATTTTCACGCTATCATGGTAAAGCTGGTATTGGCATTTCAATTTTATTAACAAAGAAACAGACTGAGAGAGAAAAAGCCATTGTCCAGAGGAGCTGTTGCACGGCAAAGCCTGCTCTCCTGTCTTGTTTCTAAGCCAGACCACTTGTCAGATCTTTGTTCTACTCAAATATCATTTCAAATTAATCCTTGAAGTACTTTATCAGCGATTTCAGTAGTTTTACCTATAGATATACTCCTTTGCCATCTGAAACTAAGTCTTTGCTGGATTCAGTTTTAACCTTAAATCATCTGTGCCTTCTCTCTCCTTCATTTCTTAACAGATATCAGTATGGAATCCCTACCTCTTCCAGCTATTGTCATTGACTTCTCTCTCCGATTAGTCTAATTTATCAGTGATCAAAATTATCAAATCTGATAGCTCTTTTCAAGACAGCTTTGAACATAAACCTGAAAGTTCCTTTGCCAGCAACAAATGCCATTTTCTTTCCATTATTCTGGAAAAATCTTCACACAGCTCAAATGCTACCTTTTCCATAAAACATTTTCAGAACCTCCAAGGTTCTCAATCCATAATTGATAGCCTTATTGGTAAGTTATGACTGCATTATCATTTTTAGAACACTGCGTTAAAATCGTCTTTCTTCCACCTGTATCAGGAGGCTTTAAGGGATGATGACAGTGGGTTCTAGGTTCATCCTCTTTGCATCAGGCCCACAGTTCTGAAATGTAGCAGTTACTCCAAATGAATGTGGAAAAAATATAAAACATAAATGTGATGCCGAGCCTTGATACATAAAAGTATATGGAAAACCAAGCTAACATTAGTTTGGTCCATATACTTTATATAATTTTATGTATAATATATAACCTTATAATTATATAATAGTTAAAGATATAACTAATTTATTTAATAATAGTTTATATAATCTTCAACTTAAAATTAGATTCATCAAGGAAAGTGCCTGTGTCATTTATGTGACCTAGTCAGGTTTACAGTGGTATTACTTTGGAAATATCATAAAAATTTTGGATGATAAGTTAAAAATTTGTTGATATCTTGGTCTGTACTGCCCTGAAAAGTTTGGATATTAGAGTATTTCAATTTAATAGTATTTAATAAAGTAAATATTTAACTTTATGAATTTGGAATATTAGAGTATTTCAATTAAATGTTTTATGGTTAAGAGTTAAAGACTACAAAATTAAACTAAATTGAATTTAAAGTGTTGACAAATTGTTGACATTAAAAAGTTATATATTTGATTATTGATTTCCTTTTTGTTTAATTTTATAATTTTTAATTTTATGGGTACATAACAGTTGTACATATTTATGGGGTATATGTGACTTCTGGATATTAGTATGCATTGTGTGGTGATCAAATCTGAGTAACTGGTGACACTCTCAAACAAGACTGCTTGAATATAAATGTACTTTTCAATGTAAACAATGTATTACCTAACTGGGTGGCTACAGTTCTGCACAACAATGCTGAGCTATTTAATATTTCGTGAAGAGTACATTTTACTTTGTTTTGCATTGGATATAAACTATAGGGTAAGTGGTTTTAGATCTTATCATGTTTTGAATCTTGGAAAAATGCAGTCACAAATCACATCACTACACTAACACAGGACTGATGTTGTTACAGCATATACTGGGGCCAAGCAGTTGGGCTTGAGAGTCTTGAGCTGCCTGCAGAAAGTGTCCAGGAAATTTGAGAAGATGCAAGCAAAGCATCGTGGTGAAAAGGTAGGCTCAGTGTTTGTCTGCCTTCATACAGGTGCTCATTCCCCCTTGCCGCTTGAAGTCCAGGCACTTCTCTCTTTTTCCCAGTTTTTCAGGTCTTATACCTTCCTATTATAAGGTAAGCAATTCATAAATGAAATTTCAAAAAGATTAAGTATGCCCTCCAACCGCATGACTATGAAGTAAAGAGGGGTTCTGATTTTTAATTTAATAAAGCTTGTATATTGTTTTAGAAAATTAGCTTTAATACTTACTGTTTTAGTTATAACTGTAGGTTGATATTGCTTAGAAAGTGTACTTACACGAGAACTTAGAGTTAGCTATCAATTACCTCTTGTAGAAGAGATAGTAAAAAGGCTGAAATCTGAAGTCTGTTTGTTATCACTAATCAGATTGTTCAAAGAAAAAAACCGATGCCAAAGAGAACTGAATTCAAATGTTCAGTATTCTGGTAAATCCGCTGTGAAGACCTACAGCTTTCTTACGCTTCCATCTTTGTGTTGATAACACCACTTGGTAGGTGATGCTTATGTGTTGTTGACAGTATGTCAATATTACACTGATTCCTTGAAAAACAAGTTTCATTGAGTCATCTCGGGAAAGGTATACCCATATTTATGCCATAGGTTATTGTTATAATTAAATTAGATACAATACGGAAAACATCTAACAATATTCTTTCCTCATACAGTGAGTATCCTCGATGGAAGTCTGTATTCTCTAGTACGGAAGTGTCCTTAACCAGAAATCTTTCTCTTTCGTTATGAGAGAAACTATTTTTCTAGACCCAAATCACAATTTTCTTATTGCCTGTGTTGTCTTTGCTAAATAATAACCTAGAGGAAAAGTTGTTTTGAGAAGTTGAGAAGTTGTGTAGTCAGAAGATTAAGTGATTCACATTTTGTTCTACACAGAAAAGGATGCATAACATTTATGTTAATGATTTTGGTTACTATTTATCTGTGTAGTTAAATTTATTTCGCCAAACCAGCAGACTTATGAAAAAGTTGAAAATGCAATTGACAATGCTCTAGTTCATCGTTGATAACTGAGTATTGAATCGCACACCTTTTTACCTCTGTCAGGTTCAAAGAGGTTGTCCTCACCTGGTACCTGTTTCAGGTACTGTTTACTTGGTCCACATTCCTCTGTCTTTTTCTTGTCTTGATACTTTTCTTTCCTGGTTCCTTAGCAACAACCATCTTGTGCGGAGTCCTGAATCCCGTTCCAAAGGTCCTGCTTCCTGCCTGGCACCTTGAATCACTGCATAATTCTGGCTGTCAGATTTTCAGTTGTCTGCTTCAGACTGTTTGAACAGGCATGTTATTGTGAATTGCTCTTTTTGATTCCGACTACTCTCTGCACCATTTTTACCTGACTGAGATGCTTTTCATTTTCAGGGGCAAGTTGAATTCCACTCAGTCTTCTGGTGTGCACTGGCACGTGGGTGCATATGTATGGACCCACACGCGAGTACACAACTCTGCCTGCATTCCCACCAAGTCTGACCATGTACATTGTGCTACTTTTTGCACAGTAGCAGATGTCAGCACTTAATAATACTAAAGCTAGATCCTTGCAGTGCAATAGAAGCTTTTCAAATGCAAGTACATTTGGTAGATAAAGATCTTTTTGTATCTACTTATGGAAGTCCTTAATTAGAGATAAAATGTACATGGTCCCTAAGATCCTGGACTCTGGGACAAAGCTTTATCGCATTCGCGTCCCAGCTCTGTTACTTACAGGTTGTGATAGCTTAACCAAATGATGAAATTTTTCTGCACCTCAGCTTCATCGTCTCTAAAACGAGGGTGCTGTGTCTCTGTCATCATTAAACGAGTTACTGACTGCAAAGCTTAGAGTGCTGTCTGGCACACAACAAATGTTCAATATGTATAGGCTATTTCATTATACATTTACGCAAATGATTTTGCTCAAAACAAATTTTAACCTTGAAAAGATAATTCGGATTGTTATAATTATGGCAGATTTAATCTTTAGATTTGACATAATCAAACAGCAATATAGACTCGGAATTATTATCACATGGTTATTGGAATCCAGTGGAATAAATAAATTAGCTTTAGGAAGCTTACAAACCAAATCGAGGGGAAAAAAAGATTACTACATTTATTTCTGGTACTTAGAAAATATCTTTAAAAAGATTTGCAAAAATGTTATGAAGTCATTATTTCCTCATGGTGATACAATATACTATAGTAAATGGTTATATAAGTATCATTATAATACCTCTAGAAAATGTGCATGCATAGGAGTTAAATACGAATATGATTTTTACTTTTGTTTATATTGCACAAATCTCAGTTTATAAACTGTCTAAGAAAAGACAGAACAAAAAATTATCTATATTGTTTGATTTAAGTTTTGCCATAGAATGGGCTATAGAAGCCAGCATTAATCTTGTACAGAAATATACTAATGAACTCATACTGCAGAAATAATACAAAATAAAATGCAAAAATGAGCAAATCAAAACAAAACAGAAGTAAACATAGCAATTATGTTGTTTGCTTTGAAAACCCAACTGTGTAGAAACAGTGACATTCTAGTTTTTAACAATTAGGTGTGTATTGATGATATCAAAAAAGTTACTTTTTAAAAAATCTGCTGAAATCTTAAAAGACTGTTGGTATTTTCAAAATAGTATCAAGATTCTTTGCTAATCAAATAACAATGGAAAAAGTCATATACTTCGTAGTATGATAGGCAACTTTCAGTGCCTGCACACATTGAAACTGTCTCTCTGTCTCTGTCTCTCTGTATCTACATCTCTGTTTCTCTATCTAGATATTTTTTGGAGGATGTAGGAGGCATCCCCAGCACTACCATTGCTGAGAAATTTCTGCTACTATATCTTTATTTATAGTTGGTATTATCTTTTTTTTTCTGAAGTTGGAACAAAATATTATAGTATTCTTTTAATATGTATTTTTCCTTATCAGTCAATTCCTTGTACCTGTTATTTTCTACTAACATATTGAGCTGTTTGGCTTTTCCTTATAGATATGTAATTCTTTTTATATTCAAAATAGCAATTGAATATTAATTATATTTTGTATATGTCTTATTCAAGTTTGTAGTTTCTGTTATGTCTTTGGGGGATCATTTAATCAACCTAAGTTCTTAATTTTAATATAGTAAAATTTATTAATATTTTTCTTCATTAACTTTTGTGCTTCAAGAAATTATTCTTCTAAACAAATCTGTTTCTACCCAAATTCCATAATATTTTTTTTAGGTTAGTGAAAAGTTTTTGCTATTTAATAAAAAGAATGGCAAAAACTGCAATTACTTTTGTATCAATGTAAATATATATATATATATATATAATTTTATTGCATTTTAGTAGGTTCTGGGTACATGTAAAGAACATAAAGGTTCTTTTTTTTTTGAGATGGAGTTTTGCTCTTGTTACCCAGGCTGGAGTGCAATGGTGCGATCTCGGCTCACCGCAACCTCCACCTCCTGGGTTCAGGCAATTCTCCTGCCTCAGCCTCCTGAGTAGCTGGGATTACAGGCACACGCCACCATGCCCAGCTAATTTTTTGCATTTTTAGTAGAGACGGGGTTTCACCATGTTGACCAGGATGGTCTCGATCTCTTGACCTCGTGATCCACCTGCCTCGGCCTCCCAAAGTGCAGGGATTACAGGCTTGAGGCACCGTGCCTGGCCAGAACATACAGGTTCTTTACATGGGAAAGAATGGGAATTTTTTCCCATTCTGTTGGTTGCTGATTCACTCTAATCGCTGTTGCTTTTGCTGTGCAGAAGCTCTGGAGTTTAATTAGATCCTATTTGTCTATTTTGGCTTTTGTTGCCAGTGCTTCTGGTGTTTTAGTCATGAAGTCCTTGCCTATACCTATATCCTGAATGGTTTTGCCTAAGTTTTCTTCTAAGGTTTTTATGGTGTTAGGTCTTATGTTTAAGTCTTTAATCCATCTGGAGTTAATTTTAGTGTAAGGTGTCAGGAAGGGGTCCAGTTTCTGCTTTCTGCACGTGGCTAGTCAGTTTTCCCATCACCATTTATTAAACAGGGAATCCTTTCCCCATCGCTTGTTTTTGTCAGGTTTGTCAAAGATCAGGTGGTTGTAGATGTGTGGCATTACTTGCGAGATCTCTGTTCTTTCCATAGGTCTATGTCATTGTTTTGGTACCATGCCATGCTGTTTTGATTACTGTAGCCTTGTAGTATAGTTTGAAGTCAGGTAGCATGTAGCCTCCAGCTTTGTTCTTTTTTGCTTAGAATTGACTTGGCTATGCAGTCTCTCTTTTAGTTCCATGTGAATTTTAAGGTGGTTTTTTTCAGTCCTATGAAGAAGGTCATTGGTAGCTTGATGGGGATAGCATTGAATCTGTAAATTACTTTGGGCAATATGGCCATGTTCACAATATTGACTCTCCCTAATCATGAGCATGGAATGTTTTTCCATCTGTTTGTGTCCTCTCTTATTTCGTTGAGCAGTGGTTTGCAGTTCTCCTTGAAGAGGTCCTTTACATGCTTTGTTAGTTGTATTCCTAGGCATTTTATTCTCTTTGTAGCAATTGTGAATGTCAGTTCATTCTTGATTTGGTTCTCTTTAAGTCTGTTATTGGTGTATAGGAATGCTTGTGATTTCTGCACATTGATTTTGTATCCTGAGACTTTGCTGAAGTTGCTTATCAGTTTAAGGAGATTTTGGGCTGAGATGATAGGGTCTTCTAAATATACAATCATGTCATCTGCAAATAGAGACAATTTGACTTCCTCCTTTCCTAATTGAATACTCTTTATTTCGTTTTCTTGACTGATTGCTCTGGCCAGAACTTCCAATACTATATTGAATAGGAATGTAGAGAGTGGGCAGCCTTATCTAGTGCCAGATTTCCAAGGGAATGCTTCCAGTTTTTGCCCATTCAGTATGATACTGGCTGTGGATTTGTTGTAAATATGTTTTATTATTTTGAGAAAAGTTCCATCGATAGCTAGTTTCTTGAGAGTTTT